GGAGGGAGTGAAGAAGCTCCGGGGAGAACCCGACGTAAGGGCTCCGAAGTTCAAGTTAGAGTCTTTCAAAGGCAAGATAAGCCAGATAGCGCAAACGTTAGCATACCTTGTTCTTGGGGGGTAGGAGCCTTTTATAACCACCTTGCGCACTCACTTCTAGGCTTCTGTCAGATCGGGCATGATTATTTCTGAGCTCCTGCCAGTTCGGATGTCATTTCCTCTGGCCGGACAGAACCGCCACTGCTTCTTTTGTTGGAGCCGTCTCTACGGCTGGTAACGACGGTGGCAGGTGGCGGTAGCAAGAGGTCGTTTGAAGTGCGGCTGTCAGGCGTCAGATCCCGAATCAGTCAGGTGCGCCGCCCTTGGATACGGACGTCCTTGGTGTCAGGTACGTTTGGTCAGCCTGGTGTTTCGGAAGCGAAGTCCTGGAGTGGCGAGCGAGATGTCTTGAGTTCGGTTTGGGGAGTGTTCCGAGCTGCCATGGGCCAGCTCGGGTCACAACTTTGTGAGTCTTGGGACCCGAGATAGTTCGTGCTCCTTGCAGGGAGCTCGGGCTCTCAGCAGGGAGCTCGGGTTCTTAATAGGGAGCTCGAACTCCCAGTAGGGAGCTCGGACTCTTGGTAGGGAGCTCGGGCCCCTAGTAGAGAGTCCGGTCTGGTGGAGTTCGGGCTCAGTAGTGAGCTTGGAATTCATTACTTTCGGTGCTCGTTTTGGACGCTCTGCTGTCCCGAGTTGCTTGCTTTTGCCACGTGTCGGGTGATTGCGAGTTCGGGCCAAATTTCCCATCATCAACTAAGTTCACTCAAACTCTCAAGACTTCAGTAGAGTCAAAAAAAATTCAGCGAAGAGGAAAAAGAAAATAAAATAAAAGATTAAGTCTAAACTTATCGTCGTCTATCTTCACTTGCCACCGGAGTTTGCTGCTTTAGAGATTCACTTGCCGGTCGGAGCTTCAGAGATTCACTTGTTGGTTGCCGTCGTCCACTTGCTGTTGTCTGTCAGAGATTCAGAAAGTCAAAAGGAAACGTCCAATGAGAAAAAAAGAAAAAAAAATAAATGGTAAATATTACATACTTGAAAGGCTGAGACTTCACATGCCATCGTCTGTCAGTGGCGTGCCAGAGTTTGAGTTTGCCACGCCAGAAGATGATCACACGAAGAATTGGAGATGGAGAAGAAGACTCGAGTACTCGATAATCAACAGATGAAACTATAAGGATTCGAGCCTTAGAGGATTTGGGGTTTTGGGTTAGCGGCTTATATAATTATTAATATATTTTTATATGTTTGGTTATTTCGGTTAACCAAACCTCTAAATACTATACCCAAAATCGAAACCTAATGCATCCAATCAAACCAAACCGAATGCATCAAAATCAAAATTTCGGTTCACTTATTCGATTTAAGCCGAACTATACTCATCCCTAATCACAGTGACTCGCTCCTGGCTCCGTAAAGGAGCCGCGTTCCCGTATATCCCATATTTATTATTTTAGGATAAAAAAGCTATGATAATGGAGAGAGTTTTGACCAATCAGAATTTTCTTTAACGCGTTCTTTTCCGTATCTTCTTTAACGCGTTCGTTAGGCGCGCGTTCCTCCCTGTAATCTGTATCCTCGGGAGTCAGGACCTCCATTTGCGAGATTGGGCAATTTCTGCAATTAAAAGGGTTGTTTTTGTCATTTTATCATGTCAATTGAATCTTGTGTAGGTAGATGTATGAACAGCTCCGATGTGATGATATATTATTCTTATTATGGCAAATTGGCGATAGAACCAGGGACTGAATAGTCATTTTAACCTTTTACAACTGGGACAATATGAAGTGTGTAGACAACTCACTCTTTCGGTGCTTCGTCCCTTCCATTTTATGATTTCAAGAATCAGAGCTCGACTGGATCCTGGAGTTTCACAACCTCTCAAATCCTATTCCGCGGCCATTTTGACTTTTGAGTTTGGCGTCCGGTTTTTATACGCTTCCAAGGTACCTTCTTCTGCATCTTTCGACATTTCAAATGCTCCATAACGGCATCAAACTTGCTCTATTAGCAAATTTCTTTTTCTTTTTTTTTCGGTGATGAAAACCCATTCTATTCTACTTCGTTCAATCGGATGGAGATTGAGTGCAGTTCCGTGTAATGTTTTTCTACTTTTTGTCTATTTTCGATCTTAGCTTTTATTTTCTTTTCATTGTTCAACTCTTAGTTGGATCTTCCGATTTATGTATGTATGGTACAACAGTTCGTTTCATTGATTAACCTCACGGTGATTTTCCAAGCGGGTTTCAGTGAAATCTCCCTCTCTTCCATCTACTGGGTCTTTGAAAACCATTGAAGATTGGGGTTTTGTCGCCCGTTTTTCTCTGGTTTGGCCTTTGACAATCTAGATCTTCTCTTGATTTCTAGTAAGAACCAAGTTTGGACATCCTTCTCTGGTTTGTCGCCCGCTTGCCTAGGAAAATATCTTTTCTGGGCCTCCCTGCTGTTTTGCCATGAAGAAAAACAACAACTCGAATCATCTTTTTCCCATTTCCACCTGTGTCTGCCTCTCTTTCTTACTTCATCTGATCTCTGCGGCCGATACATACTTCCCAACGGATAAAATCCTCCTCAACTGTGGTGCTGCCCAAGAATCAACAGATTCTGATGGCCGGAAGTGGACTGGTGATGTTGGATCCAAGTTCGCGCCTGCAGCTGCCAACACGTTGACGTCTACAGCTGCTACCCAAGACCCCTCCGTCCCTGATGTTCCTTACATGACCGCAAGAGTATTCCGTTCTGAATTTACCTACAGCTTCCCTGTTGCATCTGGCCGGAAATTTGTTCGCCTTTACTTCTACCCAGCTTCCTATAATGGCCTCAATGCCTCTAACGCCCTCTTCTCTGTCACTTCTGGGCCCTACACTCTTCTCAAGAACTTCAGTGTTTCGCAAACTGCCGAGGCTCTAACATATGCCTTCATCATCAAGGAATATTCTCTGAATGTAGAGAACGAAATTTTGAATGTTACATTCAGGCCATCATCCAATGCTTCTAATTCCTACGCATTTATCAACGGGATCGAGGTTGTGTCAATGCCCGACATCTATAGCAGTGCAAATGGTGCCTTGCTTGTTGGCCTATCGAGTCAGTTCACCATCGATAACAGTACCACCCTTGAGAATGTTTTCCGGATAAACGTGGGTGGCAACTACATCTCGCCAACAGGTGACCCTGGTCTCTTTCGGTCATGGTATGATGATTCACCATACATCTTTGGTGCAGCTTTCGGTGTGACTGATGTAGCAAACATGACAATTCAGTACCCCACAGATCTTCCCAAGTATACTGCACCAGTGGATGTTTATGCGACTGCCAGAACCATGGGACCAGACGCAAGCATCAACCAGAATTACAATCTCACGTGGATTTTTTCAGTTGATCCAGGGTTTTACCACTTGGTTAGGCTCCATTTCTGTGAGATTCAATCCGTCATTAACAAGGTCAACCAGAGGGTGTTTCAGATCTTCATTAATAATCAAACTGCTGAGGCTGCTTTTGATGTGGTTGCTTGGACCCAAGGGAATGGGATTCCAACGTATAAGGACTATGTTGTGCTTCCCCAGAAGGGGAATGCCCAGCAGGATTTATGGCTAGCGCTGCATCCCGCTATAGCATCAAAGCCCAATTACTATGATGCAATCTTAAATGGAGTGGAGATCTTTAAAGTGAGTGATTCTAATGGAAACCTTGCTGGACCCAATCCGATTCCCCCACCAAAACAGGCTGTTGTTGACCCAAGCTTGGCTAGGTCTCATACTTCTGGTAATTCAAAGAATCAAGCTGCAGTCATTGCTGGAGGAGTTATAGGTGGTGTTGTTGTTTCCTGTCTTCTTTGCTTCTTTGTGTTTGTTGTATCCCGACGTAGGAGGCAACGGAAGGATTCAAGTGCCAGTGATGGCTGGCTCCCCCTTTCTCTATATGGAAATTCACACTCTGCAGGGTCTGCCAAAACGAACACCACAGGAAGCTATGCTTCCTCACTTCCTTCAAACCTTTGCCGACACTTTTCATTTGCTGAGATCAAGGCTGCCACCAACAACTTCGACGAGGCTTTACTTCTTGGGGTTGGCGGTTTTGGCAAGGTCTACAAGGGTGAAATTGATGGTGGGTCAATTAAGGTTGCAATTAAACGTGGCAACCCCCTGTCTGAGCAGGGAGTCCATGAATTCCAGACAGAGATTGAGATGCTTTCGAAACTGCGGCACCGTCACTTGGTATCATTGATTGGGTACTGCGAAGAGAACTGCGAAATGATCCTTGTCTATGATTACATGGCCCATGGGACTCTGCGTGAGCACCTTTACAAAACCCAAAAGCCACCCCTGCCCTGGAGGCAGAGGCTTGAGATCTGCATTGGAGCTGCCCGTGGCTTGCATTACCTTCATACTGGTGCCAAACACACCATCATCCACCGAGACGTGAAGACAACAAACATCCTCCTAGATGAGAAGTGGGTGGCGAAGGTATCAGATTTTGGGCTGTCAAAGACAGGGCCTACATTGGATCATACACATGTCAGCACTGTTGTAAAGGGTAGCTTTGGGTATTTGGATCCGGAGTACTTCAGACGGCAGCAATTGACGGAGAAATCAGATGTGTACTCATTTGGGGTTGTATTGTTTGAGATACTCTGTGCTCGGCCAGCATTGAATCCAACGCTGGCAAAGGAACAAGTGAGCTTGGCAGAATGGGCATTGCATTGCCAGAAAAAAGGGATCCTTGATCAGATAATTGATCCATATCTCAAGGGGAAGATTGCACCGGAGTGCTTCAAGAAGTTTGCCGAAATAGCAGAGAAGTGTGTTGCCGATCAGGGGATTGATCGCCCGGCAATGGGAGATGTTCTCTGGCATCTTGAATTTGCACTACAGCTACAGGAGAGTGCGGAGGAGAATGGTGGACTCGCAACCTGTGACATGGACGCATATGAGACACCATTCAATGGAAAATGTGGAGGGAAGAAGGATCCAGATGCATCATCGGGTTTTGAGGGCAATGTGACAGATTCCAGGAGCAGCGGGATGACAATGAGCATTGGAGGCCGGAGCCTTGGAAGCGAAGATTCAGATGGGTTGACACCCAGTGTCGTGTTCTCACAGATCATGAACCCAAAAGGCCGGTGAGACGGTGGGACGGGATTTGCCACCTGCCATTTAGATTCAGTGAAACAAATTTGCTTTGTTTATTATTAATTAACAGCCAAGGAGCAGCTAATTAAACTTGGGTTTCTTGTTCCTTCTATTCTAAGTCTTGTTTATGATTAACTGGTTATTGTTATTATTATATATATTTTTTGGGGATACGTTATATCTGTTGTAATTTATTATGTCATCACCCATGGGCCAAGGCTAAGGCGTACGTGTAAGAATAATGTTATTTTTTTGTACTGGTATTGCACTTTGTAAGGTATTCCTTCCTTGCTTTACGTGTAGATCACGGATTCTCGGTCAGGGCCTCAGGGGGGTGATGGCGGTGGTTCCCCCACTGCCACTTACCACTCTCAAGCTCAGGCTGGGGGAATCATTGACACTCATCAGTTTTGCAAATTGACAATTTTCCTTTTTTTTTTTTATCAGAATGAGAGGATATGGTTGAATGAGGTGGCGAGATACCTGGGTCTGGGGGAAGGTGATGTTTGTTTTGTTATTGTTAGGTTGATTTGAAAAATGGAAAAAGGATGGCTCCAGTCCTGACTCCATCCAACTCCAAGTAGCTGTATATTTCATAATTCATATCCCAACCAAAAACTAAATTAGTTACTTTAGCTTTATTAATTTGTTTATTATATAGTCAATGTCGCATAGCGATATGATTGTTGATGAGTTTTAATTCTCCTTGAAGGGGTATGTTGGGAAATGAGGTTATTCAAATATGGAGGAGAATTTGCACTCATCAAAGTTGAAGAGTCTTGGAAGAAATCTTTTAGATGTAGATTGGAATAATTTTTAAAGAATCATAAAGGTGATGATTTAGAAAAGATTTTGTTAACTTTGAATGGTGCTTCTTGATTATATCTGATCGAATTGTGGTCATTGATCTCATTGCACCGCATACATGTATTGCATTGTGCGGTAATAAGTTTCTATACCCTCTTCTCTTTATCTAAGGTGTATAAATCATCTTTTATTAAAAAACAAAAACAAAATTTGTAATTTCAATATAGGACAAAGTAAAAAAAAAATGTTTTTAATAAGAAAAGAAACTATTTTCAAGACATGTGTGCAGTTATAATTTTTCATGTAATTGATCAATTAAACCCATTGGATTTAATATCTAATGAGATTAAAATCCAACCGGTATATATTTACTTGTTTTTTCTGCCTAATTTAATTAATACCTTTCAGCTGGCTTAATTCTCCTCTCAATGCAAGGATCGTTTGGATAGCTTTTAAGTTTTAAGCATCTAATCTATACTATATTATTCCAGTTCCAATTGAACAATTGAAACAGTTGCAATAATAATAATCGTTTTAACTTGATCTAATCTTTCATGGTATCACACCATTCTGCAAACTTTTTTTTTTTTCTAGTTTTGGTTTTTTTCATGCACAAATCATAAATCGGATCATGGGCTCGCATAACGTCATCTTTTTATCCAGGTTGAGTATATATGATGGGATGGAGGAGATGTATTCAACTCGTCCTAAGAACAGTTTTGTGAGGATCAAATCCGATGATAGTTTCAAGTATGAAACCCACTAAGCATCTCATTCTCACTTGTAGGATAATAGTAATACTAAGATAAAATTACTCTCTTACAAAAAGACACGTGTTGATTTGCATGATCACTTTTTTTGCTAAAAGATATTTATCACTAAATATGAACAAGGTTTTCGTTGTCTTTTCACTAGAGATGTATCTGTTTTAATTTCAAAATAGGATGTGCTAAAATCTGCACCATTCATTCACAATGATGGGTTCATGTATATTTTAGGTTTGTACAAGCAATTAATACAGATTATCTTAAGTAAAGTATAAATTTTTATAGTAGAAATAATAATGGGTTCATGTATATTTTATATAATGTAAAGAGCTATTATCTAAAACTCCCCCTTACCTTTTTAACATTCTCTTAAACTTACCTTGACTTTTTTTTGTTACCTCCACAGACCCCCTAGCTATAAGACACTACTTTCGTTTATGGAATACTATGATATACACATACCTTCTGTCAGCTTAATATTAGTGGCCATAACACAGAAATGGTCTATATGTGCCATGTTTTTTTAATGATAAAATTAACCGTAATCAATCAATCTACTCTATTAATTGAATTTTTATGTAACTAAACTACGGTTTGTTTATTTCTCTGACTTGCCAATTTCAGGTTCATCCATCACACAACCCACTAACAGTTCTATTCGCCATCTAACAGTTTAAATTTGAATGAATGGATGGACCCATTGGTTTTAAGTTTTCTACTAACAAATTTCTGATAGAAGGGTCTCTAGAGGTATCCAAAAGTCAGAGAATCTACGCTCTCCTTTCTTTCTTTACTTTTTCTTTCAGACCAAAACAGTTTTAATGGAAAGAAAAGTGGAGAGAAGTTTTTAGAGCAATTTAGTAACATTAAGGTTGTGTTTGGTTGCAGTGCAATTTTATTTGTACTAGTACAAATATATGGAAGTGCAAATGAAAAAAAAATGCAAAATTTTATTTAATTTTGTTTTGGATTTTACTTTATTCTGCTTTAGGTCTTATTTTACTCCATTTGTGCTAGAATCCCTTTAGAATCTCTTTACTTTTCATGTGATAGCATGTGCAAGTGCTTTTTTTTTAACCCCAAATTTATCCCTTTATGATCTCTTTATTTTTCCTTTTAATTTTTGTATTTTAACTTATTTAGACAAACATGGTCACCAACAAGATTCACTCATGGATGAGTCATTGGTTAATCCATGATATTTTCCCATAAAAGCTCTTTCTTGATCTGCATATGAATGGCGTTGTTGAGTTTTATGAATTTGTTAGCTACCTAATTGAAACAAGCCTTTTTCTATTTAATTAGATTAATTTCTAGTTGAATGTTTACCATTCAAATGTAATTACACATCTATTTATTGGGTCACCAGATGGATTTAGTAAAAAAGCATTAATCCTCCTCTTCCTAATTGTTGTTATCATCATCATCTTCATCGTATGTGCTAGAATCGACCCTGTTTCCTTCTCACCAATCAGAACTAAGCCTCTCCCTCTCTCTCTCTCTCTATGCAACGGACCTTATTAGGAACCTTCTTTCTTACTGTATGGAGAATCTCAGTTGGCAGATAATCATAATTCATAAGCATTCATAGGAGAAATGGGTCTCCACATTTGCCAAAATTGCCATTGAACAGCTAAGGTTCATGTATTCCAAAATTTAGCCCGTAAGGGTATCTTAGACCTTTTAACTACTCTGTTAGACATCACATGTGACGGGAGAGGAGTCTAATTTGAAAAGAGAGAGGGGTTTCAGTATTTACAAGGAAAAATGAAGGGAGGTTTAAGTATTTTACTTACCCTTAAAATAAAGGGGAAGCCCTTCCTATCTTTCCATATATCTCCAATACTGCTATACGATAATATCCTTGTCATCGTTTCTAGTTCTACCATATGGCTTCAATAGATTGCCAAACCAAGACGAAAGAGCTAAATTTGAGTCAATTTTATGAGTGTTCAGATCCACGTCCAAACCAAAGCAAATACATTAATTCTATGAATGGCTTGTTTTGTTTCACTTGATCGCGGGAAATTGCTTGCTGTGATTTATCTTTGTTGGAACCTGGAGGGAAGATGTTTTTCCATTTCCTATGTCCGAAACGTCATCGCTATTGTAGAGGTCTCATAAATTGTTTTCTTCCAGTGCTCAACATTCTTCTTTTTGGTCGGCAGTTTGATCTATATGTTTTTGGTTGATCCTTCTAGCCTTTCTAGCCTTTTTTTTACCGAATGTATTTATTGGATCAGCATTACATTTTACGAATGAATTTTGCAATTTTGCAACGAATCAGATTCATGACTATTCAAGCTTTAAAAAACAAATAGATGAAATTAGGAGAGACTGATTCTATGAAGATGCCTTCAAAATAAGAAGACGTAGCTTTCGTAGCTTTCAGTTTACGAAAATAAGAAGACGTAGCCTTTTTCTATTCCTCTTATATCTATCTATCTTAAGCTACAGCTAATCTGCCCTTGTTTCACTTCTTTTCCCTCGGCAGTGTCCTAAGTCTTAACTGCAGCCGGATTAATATTTCTTTATTGATCTATAATATTAATACCATACGGCCTAGAATATAGTATAGGAACCAGAAAAACAAAGCCTTTCGATTCAGTGAGCATCCAACGCAACAGCTTGTACTCCCACATCGGTATCAACTTCATAATAAAATATCATTTTATTCTGGTTTACAAGAAGCCTCCCTAGTTTTACTGTGTATTTGGCGAATGAAATGAAAGGATCCATCAGAGAATTTTGTGATTTTACAAGATTAATACATGGTGTGGTTTACATATACACTCGAAACAAAGCAACCCCTCCCTCACCCCAAATAAAAAGATGTACCGCCTGAAATCAGTAACATTGGCTGAGGGTACGTAGGAACTAGAAAAACTGAGTCTACTCTCTCTCTCTCTCTTGGTTGAGGGTATACAACAAAGACAAAACGGCTCTCATGAAGGGTTGTCATTTAGAGGATTTTGTTACTTAGCATGAGAAGCTATCTTCTTCTGAAGATCTGACTTGTTAGCACCCACAATCTGGTCTACTTGCTGACCGTCTCTAAGGAAGTAGAAAGTTGGAGTAGCTCGGATATCCCACGTAGAACTGAATTCCTGCACCACACCCAACCAAATGAATCATTTCTATGATTCTATTTGTCACGAGAAGTTTGATATGTAAACAAATAATCTAGAAAAGCGAATGTCCATTTCTACTTTACAATTCATGGGCATATTTTCTGAAAACTACCACATTGGAAAAGTAAATAATAAAGACCTTGACTGGACTGTAGACACTGTCCAGAGACTTTTGGATTCATCTTTATTCCTAAGACTAATAACAATATTCACCAAATATGATTTTGTTGCTGCAAAATCATATATCGTGAATACAAGTTCTTGGCTAACAGAAATTCAACAGCGACAATCATACAAACCACTAAAAAATGTTGGGATCTTTTATCTCAGTTTTATATAAATTAATAATCCTTGCTGTGGAGCTTCACTCTATAGTCTGTTCTACCAATTTTCCCAAGAAAAGGATTCCAAAATATTGATTGCTGTAAGGGGTCCACAACCTTGGGTAGTATGCTTTCTGCATCATTACCCTCACTATATAGATCATTAATTTGCTTATGACAAGGATTAGAAAAAGTTCTGTGTGAACTGCAACAGGGATTTTGAGTATCAGAGAATGTATTTTAGCCTAAATATTATCTTAAAATTGGCAGCGTCCCCTCATCCAGTAATATATTTCCCCAACTCCTAAAGATGTAATAACTAGATGCTATACAAATACAAGAATGAAAATTAGTATCCCAAAACTTGGATAAAAAAGGTTATTCTAAATAAACTAATTAGGAAAAACTTAAATCTTGCCCGGAGGCTAGGAATATGACTGGAAAGAATAGGCATTACTTACAGCTAGTTCATCAACATCCACAGATAGGAACATGAGAGAAGGGTATTTCTCAGATAGTTCACAGTAGAACGGTGCAATCGATTTGCATGGACCACACCATGATGCACTAAAATTCACCACAACCTGTTGAACATTAAAGAAAGGACTTTAAGTAATGTTGTCAATCCCCTTAAAAAGAAACTATCAATCATATTTCGAGTTAAAAATAACAGTGAAGAATTTAAGTGACTAGATTGTGGTCTGTATATGAGGAGATTGGTGGTGTAATACAGATTGATGAATCGCATTTGACCTTGGTGCTTTATTACCCATTGAAAATTTGATTAGATCCCCAAATAGATGATAGTCCAGCAGTCTCAATCACAGACTGAAAACTAATCCGGTCATCTTCTCATATGCAATTGCCATACATAATTACAAGCAAACAGATTTTTGTTTCAACCTTCAGGCCCATTCTATGACTTGTTTGAAGAGGAGAGGAAATGAAGGTAACCATCATATTGTCAACTATGTTACAGCCTAGATCATACACACCAACTCCCTCAACTGGACACTTCAATTGGTAGTTGATATAGGACCACCCCTTTAAATCACATTGATTAAATCCATAATCCCATGACATGGACTGTTTCTCAACAGTTTTGTTTATCCATGGTCTTCGTTTGAATTCTTACAGACATTCAAGCCTCATTGACACCTACATTTTGGTTTCTTTGAGATAGTTTTCATTGTAGGTTTGGGTATTCTGATAAGTAGAATTCTCCAACACAATAAGTTGGTAGGAATAACAGAAAAGACAGCTGTTTGTAAATAATTTATGATACAATGCATAGTTAGAGAGCACATCTGCTGCAACTGTGGTTGCAGCACTTCCTTGCAACTCCCCAATTTAACATGGGTATGCCAACCCTTTGTTAAAATTCAGAACATAACATGATTTGCTTTTTATTTCCATTACTAGCATGTCCATGTTAAATTGGGGGATTGCAAGGAAGTGTTGCAGCAGATTTGATCTCATGAAAAACTATAAGAAAATGCAAGGGCTTGTAGTGACTAAAAGTCTAAAACCAGTCAGGCAGTGTGCCGGGCAAGTTATCAAGTTGATGCAGGCACTGAAAGCAGAAATTGAACTATGAAGAGAAGCTGAAATTTGAGAAAAAGTTTGGAATTGGCAATCACAACCTCAGCATATGCCTAAGGAAAACTCAAACTAGCTGAGCAGATGCCCCAGGCCATTTCAGATTGTTCTGGATATGAAGATCTCAATTATGTCATAGTTTCATCAGGTTTTGTTACCAAAGTAATATTCTTGTACATGTCACATATCTTGAAAGTAACAATAAAGGATTCTTTTGCTGAATGAAATCGGTACCCTTTCTCAAAAAAAGTAATATTCTTGTAAATATCACGCTTTTTAACCAGTAACAGTAAAGGATTTTATTGAAATAAATGAACGAATGAATGAATAGTTTTAGTATAATCTTGTGCCAGGCGCCTCTATTTATTGGCCTAGGCCATGCTAATCATTCCTTCATGTATTTTTACATTGACCCTTCTTGAAGGACACCCCCCCCCCCAAATCAAATACAGCTGACTCCATCTTACTCCTTGTCTTACTAAGCCATCCACCAGTCATAAGCTCATAATGGAACCTAGTTCCAGAGCCATCTGCTTCAACTCCCTCATAAAATATCCATATTTCCAAAAAGCAGTGCTGTTTTTCCTTTTTTTTTATTGGTCTGGTGTAGTTTTCCTTTAGCAAGCCCACAACCCTTCAGGAGTCAATGTATCACTTTTTTTAATGATTGGTATCTTTTAGGAAGTTTGCATAACATTCTAAAGATACCTTCTACTTCAGTAGTTGATGAAGGTTTTAGTCAGCTTTACTAGTTTTGCTAAAAAGCAAGTATAATGTGATTTACTGATGTTAGTAAATTCTAATTCTTTTAGTTAATTTTGGGAGCAGTTTGTTAGTAATTTTAGATAGAGTTTTATGTATTTGGAATTTTTCAAGTGGGAAAAGTTTGAGAAATGAGAATTAAGTAATTATGTGGGCCTTGGCGCAACGGCTGGATTGTCCCATTGTGACCTGGACCTGGCTGACCACTTGGAAACAGCCTCACTCTATGTGCAGGGTAAGGCTGTGTACATCTGTTCCTCCCCAAACCCCACATTGGTGGGTGCCTCATACACTGGGCTGCCCTTTAGTAAATTTAACTGTTCTTTATTTATTTTGAAAAATAAGTACAAGGACTGGAAAAACCTGTGATAATCAAAATTTGAGTTTGAATATGGAATAAATTTTGGTTTGAAGTTGTTCTTGTGTGGAACATTGTTGAATATTGCTTTTGAGGAAGTTTGTTTTTCTCTTATTTTCTTTTATTCCAATATGCTTCTATTCTTTTCTTCTAATCTTACTATTGCTAATATCTGTGATCAGACAACTCATATATGTTCTTTTCTACCACATCTTTCTTTCACTCTTATAGTTTCTGCCAATATCTTCTGCCATTAAATATTCAATATTTTTTATCAACAACCAATTGGAACTTTATTGATAAAGAATAACAAATATGGAAGAGTACAAGAGAGAGGAAAAGGGCCACAAAGCTTACTATCTTCCCATTCTTGCTTGCTTCTGTTAGCTTTTCATCCCAACTTTCTTTGGTATTTATTACTGACACATTTCCACTTCCAAATCCTATCTTATGTTTCGAACAATCATCACTATAGCGTTTCTGCATGCAAAATATAAGGTTTGATTTCTTTGTTAAAATATTTTTTTGATAATTATTTCTTTGTTAAAATAATACAACAAGATAAAATTAAGAACCAGAAAACCAGTCTAATTAGACCATAATTTATGATTTGCACTTTGAAGTATAGGCAGATACTAGATAGTCAAAGATTATAACTGATGTCAAATTAACATTGTCTACCACCTAACAGGATTAAGTAGGGAACATGATGTGTAATTTTCTTCCATGTGTGGGTATGACCAATCCCAACTGTCAATCACATATAAACATACAAACACACACACACACACACACAGACTCAGAGGAATTGTATCACCATGTGGTAAACCCAATGCCTCAAACAGGTGGAAATAACAATATAACAAGGAAACTTTGAGTGGATACTGCATAATTAGAAGACTCAAAAGAATATGGTCACCCTATGTTACATACAATTATATAACCATCCAATAAAACTAGACCTGAGAATCTAATCACCAGTATGGCTAATATAGCTACATCTATTGGATTCCAGAGCAAAATGGAAGTTGCCCATAAAATGTAATGTGGAACAGATTAGACTTGTATAAAAAGGATCCTTACATCGAATATCTAGAGGGATATTTAGGGGTGCAACAAGGGCAGATTGGGTCGGGTTGAAGGTCAATGCAGGCCTAACCCTAAAGGTCCAAACCTCAAGCTTAGGCCTGGCCCAACCCAAGGTTAAGTCCGACTTTATCAACTCAGGCCTAACCCGAGCTTAACCCAACACAACTCAGGTTGGACTCAGGCTAGGCCAGGCCAGGTTAGTCGAGCTTGGGTGGGTTGGTTGGGTTTGAAAGAATATAGATAGATAGAATATAGATAGAATTGATTGATTGAATATAGATAGAATTGATTGGTTGGGTTTGAAAGAATATAGATAGAATTGATTGAAAATATGTACAAACTTCATTTACAAAATGTGCATATACATACTTTATACATATACATGTGTATGTATAATTAGAAAAATATATATATTTTATATAAATATAATACACATATGTATGTATTTTTTCAAGCAGGCAGGTTGGGTTGGGTTGGGCTCGGGCTACCTGAAACCTCAACCCAAGTTTTTTGACCCAGGCTCAGCTTTCAGCCCTAAAAATCAGGCCCAACCCATGCAAAAACTCGGATTGGGATGGGACAGGCTCGGGTTGGAGTTGGACCCGCCCAAGTTGCACCCCTAGAGATATTTATACTCATTACAATATTTCAATATTAACTTATATTTTCTATAATTTTGTAAAGCCTACTAACATTCTGATTAAACAAGCACAGAATATCATTTCATTTTATCCCAATTTGTTTTTAAATTGACCCTAATGTGCTGCCCTCCAAAATCAACATTTACTAGGACATTCTTGAACGATTTAGAGTAAGATGTTTTTGAACCAAGTAAAGAGGCAAGAACAAGATTTTACTCAGTCATGTAGAATGTAGCTTCAATCCATAGGATGAAATAGGTCTACTAAGATCTCAAGTTCTCAACATAGCTAGGATCACTTTTGGAGATTGATATTTATGGAAAAAGCTAGTTCACCAACAAAATGCAGAGAAACTGAAACCATCCATATCTTCAATTCCTATAGGATCTAGGGTAACTTAAGGTAGCAGTCCACCTTGTTTGAATTTCCCGCTTATATGGCTGATGTAGTGGGCCCATAAATGACCATGTATCCCTGTTCTCAACTGTTCCTCATAAACTTCAAATTTTCTTTGGACAGAGTTTCAAGCAAGGTCTCACCACCTGCATCACTCCTTCAATTGCCAAATTGGCAATTCACAATCACTTGGCAACTCTGGCTCCAATAAGGAGAGTAACAAACTCTGGCCCACATCTCCAATGTGAGCAATCATAGTTGTTAAAATCTTTTTTTGATAAATCATAGTTGTTAAAATCCTACGATTTACAATACAATTCACAGTTTAAATAATGAATTCCAAAGGTTTATTTTCAAATTTAATGATTGAATACTTTCTGAAAAAAAAATGTTGTATTATTTTTTGAATCTTACCATTCAATTGTGAATCTTGTAATTGTATTCATATGCTTCAAATCAAATTGATTGGCACTTAGTTTTTGTACTTCTGTTTTAAAAAACCCTTGTGACAATATGAATTATTTAAAACCTACATGAAGACTATGTTGAGTTTGTTTTCCATCACATAAAGATTAAAGGAACATTATGTGTGGGTTAATTGATTTCAATATCAAATCTTATCATATCATTTTGCAGATATAACATAAAAGTGGTAGACAAAATGTAGTAAAATCATTTCTCCAACATTCTATCCATCCTTTCTCTCTTCAATTTCTTTTTTCGGATCCAATTGTGCATCTTAAATTAGTCCAAATGGTGACATGTGGCACTATGAGAACCAAAGCAAAAAAACTCAGATATTGATGGATGTGGGTAGTCAGTGGATGGGTTGGTCTTCAACCAGCACCCAACTCAAGCCATCCATTTGCCACCCCTAAATTAATATGATTACAGCTTACATGACATTGAGACCAATAACGTGCTACCTTTCCCATTGATGCAAATCACCCAGCTCATTATATCTAGTATAGGGATGGGCATTTGTCTGTCATGTTGTCAAAATTCAAGCAAGAATATCTGAAAATAATGGTAATAATAAAGAACAGATTTGAACCCATACTGTGGCTTAACAAGATGGCAAGTTTTTATGGTAGTGTGTAGGAGAGATGGAAATTTTAAATTGAAAAAAAAAGCATTTGTGAGGTTTTTGAAGTACTAGCATAAGAAAGCAAATAAAGTGAAGCCACCACATTAAAAAGAAAAGTTACAACCTTTCTTTTGAAAGAGGATGATCTTTTCATTTAGTCAATGCAATTTGTTAGAAGAGACTCACCTTACGCCAACAATTTCCCATGAAGTATTGGCCCCTGGTGAAATGAACACAAGTGTACCCTGAAAATCAAATGAAACAAATCAATGATTAATTACATAAGATGTATCATTATACACTATCTTAGCCACAAGAAACATCAATTTTTTAGTAACTTGTAAAAACATTATTGATGATAGCAAGAATATACAGTATTTGTCTACAAGAAACCAAAGAAAATCCAAATATCCAATTAATCCAATGCTAAATTTAACTTTTTTGGATAAATAATTTTTACCATAATTTCACACATTAGATAATCAGAAAGAAAACCACATATATGTGTGCGTGTTTTTTGTGTATGTATCTTTCTGTAAATGTATGGCTCCCTTTTGTTCATTTCTATGCACATGTGGTATTTCTTTGCATGCTACACAAGTATCTTGTATGCAATGTTCATTTTCCTTCCTTTGATAGTAAAAAAGGAAACTAAACATTTCATACAAGATACTTGTGCAGCATGCACATAAGCAACTGAAAATGCTCAGTTTTACTTCTTATTGTCCAATGGTAGTGGGATCGTAGTACCCCATTGTAAGCATGAAATAGGAGTGATCTTGCTGGAGTTAATGAGTCCCTTGTAGGGACCTCGTGCAGCCACTGAGGATTGTAGTAACCTATTGGCATGACAAGAGAAATGGTATCACGTTAAACCTAGCAAGATGCCATAATAAGCGACCCAACCACTTTCTGAGTAACACGTGATCTTGCGTGAGACCCATAATTAAAAGACAATTATTTAGGGGTGTCCATGGTGAGAAGCATGACAGGGGTCAGGGAAATTGTGCTCAATTATACTTGATATCCTCTTGGACACGAGTCACATCCCGAATGGTCCCCAAGAACGTAGTTTAACCAAATCATGATCTCCAGGACATGCATCCTCGCCTGAGAGAAATGCGGGATTTGCTCCCTACTTGTTTGTTAAAGTGAGGAAGATTCTGGAAGGTTCGAAGCTATGCACATTCCATGGCAACCCTGTCCTATAAATAGGGACTAAACCCTTGAATTAGGACCTTTTTCCTTCTTCTTCAGGCCTAATTCTCATATCCAAAACTTTTCTGCTTTCATCTTGGTGTTCAAGCCCCAACTTCAAAGCTCTTAGACCATCCTTGTCCCGTCAGCTTACAACAGATAAACAAACAAAGCCAAAGATGGCTTATGTTTCCAATTAAAAAAATGGAGATTGAAGATACTGTTCTTTAGAAGATGCCAGCTAGTGGGCAAAATCTGTGGGGTTCAAACAATTGATCTGTGTTCAAATGTAGCTTTTACCTTCTAACAGGAGACAACTGGCCTGCTTACTTGCCAAAAAGGAAAACGAAAATTGTGTAAATGCCCTTCTTGTAATGACTAAAATAAATGTGGATTACCTATTTTCAATTTCCACAATATAAAGAAAAAGAAGATACGAAATCATATCGGAATATTTCCCTCTCACATTTTCTACTCTCATAAAAACAAGATAAAAAAATCAATTTCAACATTCCGGTAGGTAGGTTATTGTCGATATGTCAGTGGGTCAAAATGGATTTCAAGATACAGGGTTTTGGTATCCACGTCAACGTATCCCCCCAATTTAACAACCAACTTACTGACCCTCTTAACGTGTGCCCGGTTCCATCAGGCTCAAAAACCATGACTTCAAATTTAGAGCAACCATCAATGCTGCTAAAAGAATGTATGAAGTTAAAAAAAAAATGAATAGATTATAAAGATCTATTTCTTATTTGCTTAATATACTTAACCGCAGTGTGAACAATAAAATAAAGGAAAAGAAAATTAACATTATATGCTATTGAGAACATAACTTATGCCTTATAATCCTGGTAAATTCAGGCTTCAAGAACTCATAAACCATCATCAACAATTGAGTATTCCAGCAAGGTAATTACCTTCAAATTACAGTGATTAGACGAAATGCTACCTACACCGATATTGAGAGGCACTCCAAATTAATCCTGTACAAAAGAAATCACGCGAAATCAATTCTACCGCCGCAAATTATATAAAATTGTCCTGTAATGGCTCGAATTCCCACGCAAAACGTAGGAATGTATATGATTAAGGCGCGAAAAAGGAAGGAGAAACAACCAAAAAATATAATCGTTATTTAATAAACCCTAGAAAAAAAATAATCACATTTGACATTACATCGCCATTAAATGGCCATACAGTGCAACAGGGATTTACATTGAATTAACATGAAACTATTTTGAAGAGAAAAAAGGAAAACGAAAATTACCCTGATTTGAGCTTTTATTCGTATTGATTCTATCCTTTCAACTGTACAGTATTTCAGAATGGAAATTTCTAATTGAATTTCGTGATGAAGAAAGGGGGAGAGAGGGGGGCCCCAAAAACGAAAAAAAGGCAACGCTCCAAATTTTGAAATGGTTGTTAAATATAAATTCTTTTCTCGGAGTCACCTGTAACGACTAGCGATGTGTATTTCGAGTGGAATTTGAATTTGGCATCAGCGCCCCACAGCACATTCAAACCCTATAGGCCTATATTGGAACACTCCCAATCCGATCATCCGATGTAAAACTCTTTCGACAGTGCGGATCTCCTACAAAAAATGCCTTTATCCTTACAAGTAAAGCCTACGCTAACCAATCAAAATTTATCGAAATTCACGGAGATCAGAATGGCTGTTGGGGGTGAAAATGGATCGGATCATCATCTTATACGATCCGATCCTATATTATCGGATTTGGATATCCTTGATTCGAATTTTCGGATTGGTTCGGATCATTCCTATCCGAATCGTCCGATATATATGATGTATATTGGTAAATTATAAAGACTCCCCTATATTATGGGGTCTGTGACAAAGACCCTATGTACTATGACCGTGAGACAAAGACCCTTCCTAAAAACCGTTACAATATTTTTTAATCTCCATATTACTCTTATAATAAGTAAATGAGAAAAATACTGTTCATCTTTCCCGACCTTCCAATTTCGATTCCTTCATATTTCTCTCTCTTCTCTCTCCCCCAATCTCTCTTCTTGCCCTTCCCCTGTACTTTGTTTCTTCTTCTCTTGTCTGTTATCTTCATCAGCTCAGACTAACAACGTCTAAAGTCGGTTGTTGAAACTGTCGGGCATAATAAGTTGCAGGCAGTAGCATCGGAGAACAAGAAGAGGATGATGCCGTTTGATTCCATGGGTTAGGCCTATATCCCCATGGGACCTCGGGTTGAGGAAAACTCAAACTGGTCCTCGGGTGCGGTAAGAACAAAGGCGTACCGATGATACTGGTACCACCACTACTGTCGCCGCCACTGCCGTTGGGTGGTAATAGATCGAGCTCCACCAATCTAACTGTTGGAGTGGTTGGTTCCATTTGATTATGCTTAAACTCGGTTCTTCCCGTCACGTAATCACCGATTGCAGGACGTTCAGACCGATTGTAGGATGCATAAGGTGGTGGTTAAGGGGAAAAAGGCAGATCCGTTGAAGGTGTTGGACAGAGTTCAGAAAAAAGAGTCATAGGCATGTAGAGCTGCTTACTCCAACCCCGAAACCCCCGACGGAAGAACCTATGAAGGATGAAGAGAACAAAGAAAACGTTAAATCAGAGGAGAAGAAAGAAGGAGGTTAGTTCATCTTAACATAAAATGGTCGTAAAAGAGAAAGATCTTCAGATCTCTCTGATTAGCTTCTAAAGATTCCATTTAACATAAGTTGGTGTTTGTTTTATGCAGCCACAAGTGATTATAGTAGTTTTGAAGGTCCACATGCATTGCAAAGCCTACGCTCAGAAAATCCGAAAACGCATACAGAGAATGAAAGGTATATTGTTTCTCCGATTTTCGCTTCCATATGGCCTCCGCATTCTGGGACCTTGTTTCCATCATTTCACTGTTTTCTTCAATTCTATTTTGAATTGCAATGCGATTCCTTGGAACTGGAGCCATCTTCGTTGAGGCTACAGCCATTTGACCGACCACCAGATCGGATTCCGATCCTAAGCACGCTTGGTTACAAGGGTCATACCCTAATATTCGGCTCGTAAGACCAACACAACTCCCCGTATAACAACTTTCTCTACAACCACTCCCACATCATAACTGTCATAGTGTTGATGATTAAAAAGGTTTTGAGAAGGAATCATGGTCATATTGGAGTACCGAAGAATCAAAATAGCCAGCGTCGATTTCTTGTGTTTTGTCTTCAATCCCATCAATGGGAACTAAGGAGGAATTAATACTACATATTTTTTATCAATAATGTTTCATTGATTAGTAGACAGAATCCATTAAAGAACACTTCCACATTATATTTGGAAATTGAATATACAAGAAAAGTAGATAAAGTAAAAAGTAGGGAAAAATAAGAACACAATTAAGCATTGGGTATCTAGCAGTAGAGATCCTAAGAAATCCAGTTAAATCATGGCACATACGTACATTGGCAGGCCATAGCCATATTTATGGCTAGTTAGTAACTCCTAGACCAACACCAACCTCATAGAGGAGGCGCAGTCATTCACTCTTTCGATGTCTTCCTCTGTTTTTCTGAGGAGAGAAAATAAGAGATAGAGGAGGCATAGTTTTCCGAGTTATGAAGTGTTGAATTGAAGGGTCGTATCCATCCTTTAGTTCTCCTCATGGCCAAAGAGAGGACGGTGAGGGAGAGGAAAAAGAAAGACAAAACAATAGGTTAAATAGGTTTTAAGAGAAAAAGGGCAAAAAAATAAAATAGAAAAAGTTTGGTGGGGTATTTTGGTAATTTAACGCACTCCGTCATCTAACTTAACGGTCAATGGGGGTCTTTGTCTCATGGTCATAGTACAGGGGGCCTTTGTCACAAACCCCATAGTATAGGGGGGTCTTTGTAATTTACCCCATATATTTATGAATAGTATATATATATAGTATTCATAAATATATTATTTATATTTCGTTTGTAATTTTTTTATAAAAACATGTATATATATATATATTGATGATAATAGTTGCTTGTATTTTTTATTTTTTCTTTATTTAAATATTTGTATTTTCTTTTCCTTTTAATAATTTATTAATTTTTAAAAAATTATTTTGGACCGGATTAGGTTCAAATATCTAACATTTTGATTGGATTCGAATTCAAATTGATATTTATGAGATCCAATTGGTCTTTGGATCGATTCAAATATACCTTGATTCAAATCCAGTCCAATATGTTTGCATCCCTAATGGCCTACAACTCTATCTTCATGCTCAAGAGGAGTCCAAATTTGTTCCTAAAACAGCACTCTTTACACCAACCTCACAAGCACATCCGACCATTGGGGGTGAGCAAAAAAAAAATCGACTGAAACTGAAACGAAAAAATTGGCTAACTGAACTGGTCAATTCAGTTTTGATTCGGTGTTTTTAAAAAACCGAAAGTACTCGTTTGATTTTGGTTAACAAATATAAAAAATCGACGGTTAAGTGAACCGACCGGTATACATGTATTTCTATATATTTTGTATATATTTTATATATTATAAATTAATAAATATGCATTATATATATTAATAATATATTATTTATTATTTAAAATATAATATTACATATATTTTATAATATATATTATAAAAACTAAAAAACCAAAAAACCAGTGAATCGAACCAATGGTTAACCAAACTGGTCAACCGGTTAATCAACTATTTCGGTTCGGTTCCGAGGTTCGGTTCCGATTACCAATTTTCCAAAAATCGGTACTATCAGTTCGGTTCAAAAAAAAGCCCACGATTCGGTTACCCGAACTGTGAGCACCCCTACCGAATCAAGAACATCTCTTGTACTTTTGTGTTATTATTATTGGGAGGTGTTCCCAATGCATAGTGGAATGTGCCTATAAGGTTAGTGTGAGGTGCACTCTATGAAGAGCATATCCCAATTGGTTCAACTGTTCAAAATGGTTAAACTGTAAAATTTACACCCCCCTCACAATGGGGTTACTGACAAATACCCCTCAACTTCCACCTTTTAGAGTTTTGTCCGTTAATTTCAAATAGTATTATCATTTAGCTATTTAAATTTTTTTAAATCTACAAACTATTCTTTTCTTAACATAACATTGAAACCCTCTCCATTGCTCCAATATAAATTTGCAGATTTATGGCTAGATTCACTATTCAAATAAAAAGGTAGAGGTTTCTTTTGATGGACATAAATTTATATTTTTGTTTGGTTTTCTTGATTTAACTAGTTTTGTTTGGAGAATATGGGCATATTTTAAGTCAATTAGGTTCAAGAGAAAAGGGTGAGAAAAAAAATAAAAAAAAAAGAATTTAGGTAGACATTTTGATAATTTAATACATTCCTAGAGGTGTAAAGCAGGTTGTGCCGCCCTCCCTAGGGATAATTTGGGGGTCAGCCTGGCATGACCCACGGCCCAAGCCCATGCGGGCCCGTGCCATGGGCCTGGTCCGAACGGGGCCAGACCGTTTTTTTTGACATTTTTTTTCTTTCCTATGTAAAAAATACTTAACCTATGTAAAAAATACTTGACATTTTTTTCTTTCCTATGTAAAAAATAGTTTCCGTTGGGAACTATTTGAAAAAATAAAAAATATAACAAAGAAATGAAAAAAATACTTAACCAAATAAGAAGTCAAAGAGACAAAAACTCAAAGTAAATAACAAATTTAAAGAAAAATAGGAATTTTATTTCATTTAAATTTGAATTATGCAAAGCATACATTGGTTGAATGAATGAAATATGAAAATTGGAAAATATAATAAATTAATAAAATATAAAGAATACAATATAATTAAAAATTAAAAATAAAAAATTAAGATTCTTCTTTTTGGTGTATTTTTTGTTCATTTATAAAAGAAATGTAATATTTAAATAGAGGGAATTGAATGAGGTGAAAAGTAATAGTTCAATTTATAATTTAAACCTCACAATTAAATAGGGACTAAATTTAAAAATGAGTATTTTAGTCAAAAAATTTTCATGATCTTATTCATATTTTTAATAGTAGTGTAAATATAGAATTATAGATGTGTTCAATTTTTCGTGTAAATATAGAATTATAGATGTGTTCAATTTTTCTGTATTTCCGTGTATAAAAATAAGTCTAATATGCCATATTTACTTTTTGTTTAATATGATAATTATATAATATTATACATGTTCCTAAATGCATTTTTTTTTGCAAAATTTATGTATTTTATATTTTATTAATTTTTGTTATTTATTTATGACATTAAATGTTAACACATTTGACCCAAACCTATTGATGTTTGTCAAATAGTAAAATAATTTCATTTGTGGTGATTTCTAAATTATGTATTTTGTTTTCATTATCAATAAAAATAATTATTGTTTATTACACTTATTTTTTGGTTTTATTAAAATAAATATCATAAATATGTTTATTTTTTCTACATTTTTATAATTTTCTATATTTATTTATACTACAAAAATTTTATTACCTAACTATGACTTCATAGGTTGATCAATTTGATTCGGATGGTTAAATTGCTTAGCCACTACTTTGAAAAAATAATGGTCTTGTTTTTTAATCATTTTGAAAATATATGGGTTTATATTGTTAAAAATATTGACATATATCTAATTAGTAATATTTATTGGTGAAAAATAACTTAAATATAGGGTTTAATAAGAGAAAATGGGAGTTAACACCTTTAAGTATATGACATAATGAGAGGGGATTAAATGAGGTGAAAAGTAATAATTAAAGTTACATTTTCAATCGTTACAATTAGAGATGGAATAAATAAACAAATATGGGTACTTTAGTAGCCATTAAAACCAGCATTAAAACTGTAATAAAATGGTTTTTATATCATTTCTCAAACAAAATATATATGGATTATTATGAACACAAAATTGTCATTTGTGTGTGACGTTATTTCTTATTCCCTAACCTCACTTTCCCTCTCTAAAACTAAAAAGGTAAATTATAGATTACTATCCTGTGATTTATGGCTACTGGCCCTTCAATTCTTATTTTTAACAAATACCCCTCCAATTTGAATGATCACAGAAGTTAATTTATCAAAATACCTCCATAAGATATTACTATAAAATGGAAATTGCAACAAAAAATAAATAAAGGTTAAGTTTGAGATTGCCTATTCAAATATGAACTTATTTTGGGTTGGGACCACACTGATAAGCACTTATTTGCACTTGAGAAAACCTAAATAAGTGCTTATTCTTGAAAATAAGCACTTATTTCAAGAAACTCAAATTTTAAGCTTTTCTTAAGTACTTATTTAACAAGTATTTATTTACTTTTTGGCCCATCTTGACCCACCCCATCATTTTGAAAATACCTATTTGAAATAATTATTGTTTCATCAAACACTCATGAATACTTATTTTTAAGCACTTGTAAAATAGGTACTTATTTATTTCAAATAAGCACTCCAAAATACATGGGCTAATATTATTACAAAAAACACAACATGCAATTAATATCAACAAAATCAATAGTAAATTAAAATTATAAAAAGGGGTGACTTGAGGATTTTGAAAAATTTAAACAGCCATGTAAAAATCCTTTTCAAAGTTAGCCAATGGAATGCAAACATGGAGCCTATTTGTCAAAATCTCAAAACTCGTGGGGTAGGATACAAAATAATAGAAAATACAATATTTTGCACTCTACATATTTGTATTTGTACTCCTTTCAAACTGAACCTTGTGTTTTGTTGCAATGCAATTTTATTTGCATAATACAAATAAAAAATGTAAATTCTCATTTATTTATATTTTGGGTTTTACTTTATTCTGCTTCATATTTTAATTTACTTTATTTGTACTGCAATAAAACAAAATAAAATAAAATTTGAAATAAAAATAGATTAAAATTTACAGTCAAATCATTTGCACTGCCATAATTTTATATCAGTACAAATTTATTTGCATGACAACCAAACACATTAGGTGGTAATTCTCGCTACCCCCAAAGTACATTGTAGTAAATTAGTAATATGTGATTAAATCATGATTTTCCGTTATTACACTAGCCCCACTGACACAACGTTATAACATTGAGTGAGTTTATTTTATCCATAGCCTTTTTTTTTGGTAAAAATCCAAGGCATAATTGTTGCAACGTGACAACGTCAGCTGAAATTGGTGGTGACTAGTAAGTAGACCTAGCAAAAAATATGACCCAATCCACCATCCCGACTCACAATAATAGGGTTAGGGTTTCATATTTAGCTATCTAAACTTGAGAATGACCTAACTTAACCTAACCCGAGGAAAATTGGATTGGATTGGGTCATGGGTCAACCTGTTTGATCCGATTGTTAGGTCTAATTGGGACTATTCTTGCATTCTTGGAAGTTTTTTCTCTTTTATCTTTACTACTTAGTCTTTACTCTTTATCCTTTACTCTTTGATTTGTTGAATGCTCAAGTTTTATTTTTTTTAATCTTATGTTTAGAATTTTAAGGTTAATTCCTCTAATTTTGACATTTTCATGTATTTTTTATTTTATAAAATTTTTGTTATTTTTAGAGATGACCCGAATTGACCCATGGGTCAACCATAACCCGATCATTTAAGGTTAGGGTATACCATTTGCTAATCCAACCCAAAATTCAATCCAACCTGAAATCAACCTACTATATCTTAACCCCACTCGAACCTAACCCACCCAACCCAATTGCCAGGTCTACTGGTAAGAGTCATTTTGAAGAAATGATCACTCCTCACTCCTCAATGGGACTCATAGTAAGCCATTGCTAACAAAACACAAATAGATCCAATGTTTTAAAATAAACGACCCAGAACTGGAACTGTTTTGGCCATCGGTTTCTAGATTGATGGTTCGACCATCTGGTCCGAATGGACGACTTGTTATGACAAAATAAATAAATAAATTTTTAAAAACGGCAAAAAACCGTTTACAGGTTGAATGGGTTGACAGTTTGATCGCCTTGGTCAATAGGTCGTTGATCGATTCAACGGTTTTTTGGCCAAGGACTAGGTTTGGGATAGAATGGAACCGGTTGCCTAGACATTCCCAAGCCAAATGGTCTGACTGTTTGGATCAACGACGGTTTGAAAAACATGACCGAATCTGAAACGATCCCGACAGAAGCATAAGACCCTAGGCTAGCTACCACACTCGCTTGACCTGAATAAGTGGTCACTCCTTAGTGGGCCTTGTAGCAATCGACTGTTAACATTTCGGAGAAGTGAATGAGAAGACTGCATTGCAAGTAATATTTTTTTGGGTAAATTATATATAGGTACCCCATACTTTTTGGATAGTGATAGATAGGTACTTGAACTTTCAAAAATAGACACTTGGGTCTATTCATTAGTATTCCATCAATTAAACATTATATAATGTCAAAAATACCTTTCTCGTGTATTTTTAAGATCATTCTCAAGTAATCAAACGTCTCCCCATGATGACATTTTCACATGGACAACAAATAACAAATTTAAATTTTCTGACAATGGCATTCTTTGGTGATGATTTTACTCCGTAGAATGATCTAAAAAATACACCAGAAGGGCATTTTTAAGATTATATAATGTTTAATTGACGGAATACTAAAAGATAGACCAAGTGTCTATTTTTGGGAGTTCGGGGTAGTCAAGCATTAAAATTTAAAGTGCAGGGCAACTATCTATCACTGAACGAAAGTACAGGGTACCTATCTGTAAGTTACCGTATTTTTTGATTGATTGAAGGATGTTCTAAGTATTTGTGGAAAATCTCAGGGAGTTTGGAGTATTTATCCACTCCTTTCCGAGAAAAGTCAGTGAACTGGTTCATTTGCTATCTCAAATTCAATATCAGCCGTGCTCCACGAGACCTTTTCTTCTCTGTATCGCTGCGCTTTAATGGACGGCGCGGCCATGAAACTCCCCTCCTTCAAAATTTTAAATCCAAATCGCCCCACTCGGTATTCTACAACCATCCCACTAGGGTTTCGAAGAATTTCCTCTTCTTCAATTGCTGCTCATGTGTCTGCTTCTTTCGTTAGTGAAGGCGAACCAGCAACCCGATCGGCTTCTCTTGGGCACGTTGTTAGACGAGATTTTCCTATTCTTAACCAGGTAAAATTTTCTGGTTGTTGGATTTTTTTTCATCTCTTCTTTGTAAGGCACTGTTTCTTCATCAATTTAGATTTTACTTATTAGTTTATTTCCCTTTCACTTGTAATTTTCTAAGTACAGAGTGATTGTAGTCTGGAGGGAGATGTTGAACGTAGAATTTTCATTAATCATCGCAGGAACCTAGATTGTAGACTAGAAAAACCATATTATATTTATGAAGCTTAAAAATTTAAACTTTCTCTATTTAACTTCTTCGCCTTATTGGTCAATAGTCGATAACCGCATTACTAATGCAATCATCTTTTGTAGGAAGTGAATGGCTTGAAGCTGGTCTATTTGGATAATGCTGCAACTTCTCAAAAGCCCATTTCTGTATTGAAGGCTTTACAGAACTATTATGAAGCCTACAATGCAAACGTGCACCGCGGGATCCATTTCTTGAGGTATTATTATTTTGGCTTTTGTAAATTTATTAGGATTAAAAGTAGCAGTCTAACAGACTAGGGGATTGAGTTCTCTATGTACAGTGAGATCAATCCGAAGCATTTGTGCCTGTATAATTGACGAGATTTCTTGTTTCTGAAAGATTGAATGAAAACTACATCGCATCTTAGCAGTAAAAAGGTTGATCTTCCACAGTTTTCCATCTTAACCATGAAGTGATGTCAGAAATATCACTTAAAATAGGTTGAACTCACTTGAGTTCTGACACACGTATTGGAAGTGTGACCTTTAAAAGCTATGCCGAGATTAACTCCTTAAAAGTTCTGCTACATCCTTCAGGATCAAGACAGCCAAATATGACTTCCATTTGTTTCTTTTTTCCCCCTGTTTGAGGTTTGCATAAAAAATTCAAATTTCTTCCATCTGCAACAAACCTTTGTTTCAGTTGCATGTATATTTGTACATAAACATATTTACAAACACATTTTTATGGTGCACGTAAATTACTTTACCTATGCATGCATTTATATGCAAAAGAATATCATAGATCATTTTGAGATTTAGGGTGGCACAACTAGGGGTGTGAATTGGACCGGATTTGGTCCAATCCGATTCAGACCAATATGAGTCCATTACAGTTGGACCAGGTCCAATCCAATCCAATCCAATAAATAATCTGGATCATTTTGGACCAGTCCAATTCACTGCCTGCAGTCCAAGTCAATGTCTGGACTGTCAATCTGTTTGGTTTTAATTTAGATTGGTTCCAATCCAAACTTGGTCCATTGACACCTATATTCTTATCTTCTATCAATGGACTGGGTATTGGTTCAATCTGACCCAATCCAATATAAATCCATTATGGATGGACCAGGTCCATCCAATCCAATAAATACTTTGGACCATTAAATCTGGACTGGTCCAATTCAATATGACTTATTGGTCCATCCAATCTGTCCAAATTGATTTTGGTTTAAATGGGAATCCAACCCAAAACCGATCCATTGACACCCCTAGGGCCAACTAACACCTTAATTATGTGCCTTGGCTGCATCTTTGTGAGTTTTTGTATGTTTTTATTTTCTGCAAAATCATCATTTGTCATATCCTTTTTCTGCTTTACTTTTGGTTGATCATGTGTTATTTTTCTGGTCTAAGATGCTTATATAGTACTATCTTTCTTTTTCTCCTGAATTTAGTGCGAAGGCAACAGATGAATATGAGTTGGCAAGGAAGAAGGTGGCAGATTTTGTTAATGCATCAGAGTCTGGGGAGATTGTGTTTACACGGAATGCTACAGAAGCAATAAATCTTGTAGCCTACTCTTGGGGACTCTCAAATTTAAAATCTGGGGATGAGGTATGCTATTTTTTTTAATCACTAACAATCAAGTGGCTTTATCATTATCTTTTTGCTAAGTAATTTCAATTTTATTAGAGAAATCAATATATACAGAAGTACAAGCACCTCATGAGAGGTGTAAGTTTCATCTCTCATAATAGGCACAACACATATAAGGAATTACAATGGAGTCCAATATAACTGATCCCTATGGACCCTTTGCTTAGCTAGAGCATTAACCGGCCCATTAGCTGACCTTCTCTCCAATTGAACATTCAGTGTCAAGTTACTGGTTTACAAATTAAACAGCTTTATTAATTATTTGAAAAGACTGGTATACCGTATACAACATCAGGCTAACTCCCTTCCTATGCTACTTACACATCCCCACCTTGTGGAATTAAACCTCTGGACAATTGTATATTGGTTGCTCCCTGTTTTTCTAAGCCACCAGTCAGATATTTTCTTATCTCGGTGTCCATCTATAGATTACATGTAACCCTCCAGCCAGCTTCTTAGTCTCCCTCATAACATGTCTATATGTCCAAGAGCTTGTCCTATTGCTTTTGTTTGTATGCCATCTCACAGTTACATTTGAGTTCCCTTATTTCTTTCGATTGGTAAAGTTTGCCAACTTTATTGATTTTGAAAATTAAAAGGGAATATCCTTTGAGGACCATTTAAATTGCCTGATTTCATTCAATCTGACTTGAATATGATATAACAATTTGAAAAAAAGGGAAAAACAACTTGCTGATATATTGAGGAACAGTTATCTCTGTCTCAACAACTTCGTTGACTGAGCCACTTAGCCCACTCTGGAGAAGCTACCTGAGATAGATTCACCAGAAAGTTATTTTTGCAGCTCATGGAAGCCTAAATTTGACTCTTTTTTTTTAATCAAACATGACTTCATGGCGTTCCAGGTTTCTCAGCTCATGCAACACCAGAAGCCACTGCGTGAAAGCCCTCCCAAGGGCAGCTCAGTGCACGAGGCTCCCGCCAATGGGGGGTCTAGGGAGGGACAGATGCGCTCCCAAATGGGCACTTAGTTGGTGATTCATACTAAAAAGTATTGTACAGCATTTAAGGTTACTGGATCCAGAAATGGCTCAAGTATGGTTGAAGATTGACACATGGATTATAAATGTTGAATATGTGCTTTCAGCTCTAGGTTGCTTTTTTGTAATTCCATAAGAATCTATATTGTGCTTTAGTGCTTCGTGTTCTGTTTTGTTGTGGTAACTAGACAATTTTCCCCTTCTCCTGCCTTTAAGGAAGAAGTTTCTCCTTTTGGTTTGTTACGGATAAAAAAAGGCAGTGCTCATTAACCAAAAGAAAGAGAATGAAAGGCAAGACCTGTTTGGACAGAGTGAAGGTTGGAGAGGCTCCTTCAAACCAAGATCAAGATTGTTTGGAGATGGGTTTTATTCCTGAAGCTCATAAAGAAGATGTTTTTCTAAGAGAGGAGGCTTGGATGGGGGTGGAGGATGAAATAGAAGAAGAGTTTGAAGAAGGGAAAGAGGAAGGTGAGGAGGTGATTGCTGATCGAGTTAGAAAAGCAGAAAAGAAAGGTGGACTTGGAAAAGATAGTGGAAACTGAAGTCCAAGTAAGCAAATTGTTGGGGTGCCTGTTTTAGGAGGGTAAGATTTCACAAGAAAAATATTTCAGGAATTAGAGAAGAATCTTCTAATAAGTGAGGAAAGTTCTATATGGAGTTTTGATTAGTATATGGTTATTGTTGGGGTTGTGTATGTTTGACATAGGGAGCAAGCTTTGGGTGTTTTTGAGGGTAGTGGGTTTTGACAGCAAGAGTGATATGATATTTAAGGGCTAAGGAAAAGGAAAAAGCTTTTGTATTTCAAGGGGCTTGGAGGGATTTGGTTATTGGTTTTAAGTTCTTATCCTTTGTTGTGGGTGATTTCTTGTCACCTTCTCTTATTTCAATAACTTTTTTCATTTATTACCAAAAAATACAGTTGGCAAAGCAGGGAGGCTGACTTGGTAACTAGATGACTGTCCCATCCATCCAATACTAATAGGAGAAGGTGACTCGGTAAGAGTTGAAATGATGGCAGCAAGTTTAGAGGTACAGAAAGCCAGCAAATTGGGAGCTGCAAGGCTGATTGTTGAAGCTAACTCACAAGTAGTTATTAGTTGTCTGTTGGAGGTGGCAAATGCTGCTTGGTGCTATAGGAGCAAAATCAAGCTGACTCACAAATAATGCTTAGGCCTTGACCTCAATTCATCAGACAAAAGGTTGTGGTTAGCAGATAGCAAAGGCCAGTTTTCTATGAAATCTTTCTATAACAAACTGATCCAAGAAGAAAAGCAGGATCTCCCTATGCATATAATTTGGTGCAATCACATTCCCTGGAAGGTGTCTTTTTTTATTTGGGCTGCCTACCTAAATAAGATCTCTACAAGAGACAACTTGATTAGGAGGGGTGTGTTGATTGATTCTTCAAGGTGTGTATTATGCAACAGTGCAGATGAGTCAGGGGACCACCTATTACTGCACTGTAGCTTCACTAAAAACATTTGGGTGAGGATTTTTAGAATCTTTGCTTTCAGAAATAGCTGTCCAGCATCTGTGGTCACTTTTGTAAACAGCTGGAGAATACAAGGCCTAAGCAAGAAAGGGAAAATTTTATTGCATCTGATTCCAGGTGCAGTGTTCCGGTCGTTATGGCAAGAAAGAAACTTGAGGATTTTCCAAAACAAAAGCTGTCAAGAGGATGAAGTGTGGCAGAAAGTTGTGGGGAATCTGTATTCTTGGTCTTTGGCTCAGTTAAAAGCCGACAGTTCCTTCTATAGTTCTTTTTTTGAGTTTGAATGCCTGTTTGTACTTTGTATCTCCCAATGGGATAGTGGTTTGATTGTTTGTTTGTACTCCTTTTATACAGCTTCTGGTTGTACTTGTTTCTTTAATGAATTGATACTTTACTTCTTCTCAAAAAAAAAAAAAAAGAAAAAATCATACGGTTTAAATGGTTCTCAAAAGATATGCAGACTGAAGTTAAATGGGTATAATTGTACAAAAATCAGCTAATGGTTTGGTTGATAGCTTGGCGAAGCAGGGAGTTATTAGACAGCAACTATTTTGGGCTGTGATGCAAATTGTATGGGTGAGTGGGACAGTAAGGCTGTAATGTTTTCTCCTTGTTTTACTCACAACCTCTTGTTGTACCCTTCCTATTAATGAATGAAATTTTCATTTGTATTGCTGATCAAATATCTATCTATCTATCTACACACACACATAAGAGGGTACCCCCAAATTTATCTTTTGGGTCCAACCTAGCCCCCAATTGGGTGGTCTGAAACCCCTTGACAGCCGAGACCCAAGACAGGGGTTTTCCAAAGACAAAAGCAATAAGATCTTCTGAATCTTTGCATGTGTTACAGAAAATCCTTCTGTTTCTCTCTGTCCATATGGAGGTAATAACAGCAGCCGCAATGGTCTGCCAGGTGCTGCTTTGATAGTCCCTGCAGCTCCCAGCAATTCAGCAGCTCCTTCACAGTGCTTGGCATGACCCAGCTAATACCCAGTGCTGAAAGAAAGTGATTCCAGATTTCTGATGAGACAGAGCAGTGGATGAACAGATGGCTGCTGTCTTCTTGTTTTTGTCCACATAGCACACAAACTAATTCCTCGATCTGCATACCTCTTTTTAACAAATGTTTTTTAGTTAAACATCTGTCTAAAGAAGCAGCCCAAACTAAAGCATTAACCTTTGAGGGGGCTACAGAATTCCAAACTTTTGCAGCTGGAAAATCCACTGGACTGAGGTTAGACAAATGCCTAACAAAAGATCTCAATGGTCATCCGAACTCCAACTCCATACCCAACTGTCCTCCACAAGCTGATCCAGGGGCTGAAGGGAAATCAGCTCCAGAAGCTTGGTGAAGCTTTCAATCTCCCAATCTTGAAAATTCCTTCTGAAGGAAGGGCACCAGATCACAAAGCCTTCATTGATTTCATAACACTCCCAGATAAACACATCTTGGGGTTCTGCAATCTGGAAAAGCTATGGTAAAGCTTGCACCCTTTCCCCACATGGAGTCACCTCAAATCCTTTCCATAGACCCTTCTCTCTCACTGACTTAATGAAAATAGTGAGAATTTCCATTACAAATATGAATATTAGGGAGGAAAGAAGGTGTCCCTACCGAAGTCCCTTTGAGCTTTTGAAGAAACCCATTGATTGTCCATTAACCAGAATAGAAAATTTAGGAGAGGTAATACAGACTTTTATCCAATTCCTCCATTTTTTGGCCAAAATTCATCCTCTCTAGAACAAAGTCCAAACATCTCCAATTAACATTGTCGTAAGCCTTTTCCAAATCCAGCTTACAGATCACACCTGGAGAACCCTCTCTTTGCTTAGAATCAATTATTTCATTTGCCACCAAGACAGTATCCAACCTTTGGCGCTCTGGAACAAATGCAAACTGATTTTGAGAAATCACATCAGCAAGGACCTTTTTCATTCTCTCAGCTAAGACTTCGGCTAGGATTTTGTAGAAACTATTTAGCAAACTTATTGGCCTGAAGTCCTTAATATTAGTTGCTCCTTCAATCTTCAGAATCAAGGAGGTGAATGTGGCATTCAGACTCCTTTCCAGAGATGCATTCCTATGAAAATCTTGGAAAATCTGCATCACATAAGCCTTTATCACACCCCAACAGATTCTATAGAATAGGTTGGTGAGCCTGTCTGGACTTGGGGATTTTTCTATCTCCAAGTTTTTTATTACTTGCCAGATTTCCTCTTCCAAGAAAGGAGCCTCTAACAGACTCTTCTACACTTCAGAGATTTTTTTTTTGAAATTTAATCCCATAGGCAACGGTCTTCTTTTCCACTTTTCTTTAAACAAGCCTGAGAAGAAATCAATTACCAATTTCTTTAGCCCCAACCCAGTTTCTTCACTTACCCCCTCAAACTCTAGCCTTTCAATTGTGTTTACTCTAGATCTTGCCTTTGCCATCTTATGGAAAAAACTGGAATTTTTATCCCCGGCCTTAAGCCATTTCACCTTTGCCCTTTTCCTCCACTTCAACTCATCTCTATAGGCCAGCTTATCCAAAAGTAATTTAGCTTCCTCCCTCTTAATCTTTTCTACCTGAGAGATGGGGCCCTTCTCTTCAGCTGAATCAATTTCTTTAACAACCTCTAGACAACTTTTCTTTTCTATATCTGATTTCTTCCACCTCTCTTCCTTCCAGGTTTTTATTGCCTCCTTTAAAGCTCCCAATTTGTTGGCTAAGACATAAGAACTTGTTCCCTCTACCTGAGTATCTATCCAAGTAGCTTTTAAGAAGGGGAGGAAGTCTTCTTCCTCAAACCAGGCATGTTCCAACTTAAATGGAGATTTTCTATGACCAAATACACCACACCTGAGTTGAATAGGAGAGTGATTTGATAACGGTCTAGGCAAAGGCTCCTGGACTAAATTCTGGAACAAAGATTCCCATTCCGTATTTACCAAAAATCTGTCCAACTTAACCAACGTTGGAGATTCTTGATTGTTATTACAAGTGAACTGAGCCCTAGACTGGTAAATCCAATAGATCGTGCTGGTTGACAAATTCAGCAAACCTCCTCATTTCCCTTACCCCTCTTCTGCCCCCATTTCTCTCCTCTAAAAATCTAGTGACATTAAAGTCACCTTCCAACACCCAGGGTAGGGTGGAAGAATCGCTCGCCTCAACCAGGTCCTCCCAAAGTCTACTTTTCTTTGCTTATTCTGAGGGACCATAAACATTAGTGAATAAGCCCCTTACCCCTCCGTCCATTTCTAACACCACCGATACTGAAAAATCCCCAACATGATAATCAACCAACTTGCATCTTGACCGATCCCACATTGTTATCAGACCCCCTGCTGTTCCTCTTGCCGGTTTGCTTACCCATCTAACTTCACCTTGGCCCCAAACACTTCTAATTACTTCTGCCTCCACCACTTCCAATTTCGGTTCCTGAAGGAACACCACATCTGAATTCCACTTTTTCAACAAATCGCACACTACCATTCTTCTTCTCCTCAACCCCAAGGCCCTCACATTCCAAGGTAAAAGTTTCAGTTCCATAATCCTAATAACACAATGAACTCCCTAAACCCCTTCCTTTCCCCTTGCCCTTACCGCGCCCTCCCCTTTGCCTGCCCTATCATTTAAACCCCAAGACAAACGAAGAATTTCCCTGTTTTTCTTCATTGAACTCCCCCTTTTTTTGCATTCATTCTTCCTCTCTCAAACAGAACTCTCTTCTCTATCTCCTCCAAAAATTTAATGGTTTCTTCTTCAGTTCTTCTATTCTTGCTATCGAAATTCCCAAAATTTTCCCAATCCCAGCAATTTTGAATTTACCCATGAGGAGGTTGGTCCTACCTCCTTTCCACCCTCTACTCCTTCCTCCCCTTTTGAATTCCCTTCATCCACCTCCTTTCCCGCCCTCTTTTGTCCCTTCCTTCCCCTCTGAGCATTACATACATGTTTATTGGAGTTTTTAGCCGGAGGTAGCATCGGTAATGTGATCATCTCCCTTTCTTCGACTATCGCCAACGGGGTAATCTCCTCTAGTTCGGATTCTTCTGATGATAGATCTTTCTCTACTTCTACCGCTCTACCTTGTCCCTCCCCCGAAGGTTGCCTGGGCGTTGAACACTCAACTGTACTGGTTGGATGGACATCTGCGCAAAATTGTTTATTTCCCCCCAAACCCAGCTCTCCCTCTTTCTTGAGCTCCATTCATGGTTTCAAATGTCGCTAAAGTCGCCCGACATATGTCGATGTCGAGGCTCACCAACATGAAAGTGGATGGTAATTTCCTATATTTCGGAAATGTCGACCAAATCGGTTTAAATAACAAAAGAAAATACAGTTTTTCCTATAATGTTGACAAGATGTCGACTAATGTACATTAAAAATATAATATATTAGTATATTATATTAATATAATATAGTATATTAATATAGATTATTCCATTAATAATTTCTATTTAATATTTCAAATAAAGTATTTATAAAAAGAATTAGCAAAATATAAAAACG